GGGCTGGGCAGGCTCAGTCCTGAGTGAGCTTTGGATGTGCCACACTCCAGAGAGCCCCTCCAGCGGGGATTTGTCCCCGTGGCAGCTCAGCAGTGGGGTTTTCTCTGGGCTGGACGCTGGGAAGGAGCTGAAGTTGAGCCCTAAAGGGTTTTGTTTTGTTCCCACAGAAGCGCAAGAGCATAGGGAAGATCCGGGGTCCCAACCCCAAGATGAAGCCAACCATGCAGTCCAAGTCGGTGAGTCACAACGCCCCGGGCCCCCCTCCCTGGGGAGCGTGTCGGGGGACCCACACCCCTTGTTTGGGGCATCCCTTGTGTTTCCAGCTGCCTGCCCTGTCCTCGAGACTGTAAACTTTCCCCAAATCCCTGCTCAGAACCCAGCCAGGTTGGATTTGGACCCCCGGTACCCGCTCAAGGAGCCTTTTTGGTGCAATTCTCAGCATAAATGGGGAGAGGCTCCCAGGAAGGTGTGGGGTAGGGAATCAGCTGGTCTGCTCAATGGCTGGGGGAACCCCAAGGGAAATGGTCCAGGATGGGGTGGGAGCTGCACCCATGGAGGTCCAGGGACTCAGCAAGCCCCTCCTGTCCTGCAGGAGTCAGAGGACGATGACGAGGAGGAAGAGGAGGAGGAAGATGACGATGAAGATGAGGATGATGATGATGATAACGGTGACTCATCAGAGGAAGGCGGCGACTCCTCAGAGTCCAGCAGTGAGGAGGAGAGCGAGGATGGGGACGAGGTGAGGCCGTGGCACGGGGAGGGCACGGGGCCCCCCTCCCCCTGGGCTCAGATAGATCCGTGGCAGAGCAGCCCCCGGGAAGCAGGGGGACACGGGGAGGAGAAGGGGAGCAGGATCCCCCCGGTGTGCCCGGGGTGGGCACGAGGAGCAGCCGCGGGGCATAGTCAGGAGCAGCCTCGGGACTGTAGAGGTGCGGGGGGGTGTGCAGAGCCCCCAGTGAGCAGAGAAAAATCTCCTGTCTTTTTCCTGGTGGAGATACTGAGTCTGGTCTCGGCTCCGTTTGCGCCAGTGTGAATGCCGAGTAAGTCACCAGAGTCAAAGCTTTACACCGGTGCAACTGAAATCAGAGTATGCTGGATGGCGCTGGGGCCAGAAACCGTGTCCGTGCCTTGTGCTCGCCACCGGACAGGTGAGGTGTTTCCACCCCCTCGCTGGTCTCAGCTCACGCCTCTTCCTTCCCTGGCTTTAGAGGGGGGAAACTGAGGCACGAGGCGGGTCGGGTAGCCTCCCTCGGATCGTGTAGCGAGGCAGTGGCAGAGGTGAGGGCAGGACCCCGCGCGCTGCTCCGGCACGTCCCCCCCAGCACCCCGAGCTGAGCCCTTGCAAACTCACTCCTGGCTCCTGCCCCGCGTCCCTCCTCCACCCCCAGATCCCGGGGGGCAGCCA